AAAATAAAATAAAAATCAATGGAAAAATATCCTCGGTTGAGGATTTTTAAAAACACACACAATCTTTTAATATACTTTCTTGAAATATATTTGCACAAAATCTTTCACCCCCATTACTCATTGTATGACTTAGAATTGTTGCTAATATCTGCTAAAACAGCTCAAAAGGAATTTCTTCACTCAATGTAAGGATTTTCCCTTTTAGCCAATCTTACCATCTCTGAGTTATTTTTAACTCCTCTTTGTTTTGTCCCAGACTCTGGCAGTTTCAACTCCTCAGATCTATTACAGAAACATTCATTTGAGTACCTATTGTGTATGCTAGGCACCGGGGGTACAAGTGTGCAAAAATCAGCTCAGTAGAAAAAAATCATCTTTTAAAAAAACTTTTAGCTTTACATTCTGCCCAGTTGGATAAAACACATGATAATCATCCTTCCTTCTAACGTGACTATGTTAATCATCTCCACACACAAATTGTTTTGATTTATTGATTTATATGTAAGCTCTGTGTGATGGTTCTTTCTATGTGCCCCTCACATCATCAGTGGTACTGAACAGACATTCACAAGCGCAGTGTGAGTCAATGATGGGAGTTGTGTATAAAACAGGGAGTTTTATAATCACCAGAGTGGACCTCTGCTCTTCGATTTACCACGGACTTGCTTAGCCTCATTGGAAGAATTTGTCCAATTTGTATCATTCTCATTTAAACAATAACTATTATTGTTATTCTGGTACTTATTTTTTAGATCAGAATATTTTTCTACATTTTAGTCTCTATTATTTCTGGAACTTCATGGGAGGATATTAATAAATCTGCTTTTCCTTACCTTCACCATCAGAAGTTGTATTGCTGAGGTCTTTTTCTCTTTACCCCACAAAACACGTTTTGTAGGCTCCTGAGTCTAAGATCTCATGAGCTGCTGTCCAATTTGAATTCAAAGTCAGCTTCCTGTGAAGAACAAGTAAATATCTTGGTAGCTTCTGTGTTTCCTGTCAACTTTCAATTCTGGGGATCAGAGCATTTTTCTTAGTATTAATGCTTTATTGAAAACATCAGGACTTGGTTCTGCCCTTAGGAAACATATACCTTTCCATTTAATGCCTACAGATGCCAAACAGTATCCTGAGGCCAGTGCTTTCATAATGTCTTTATTTCATCAAGTTTATGGAAGTAGAAACAAGATTACCCAGGAATATATTCTGTAGTCAGAGCTTCACATTGTAGAAATTATTTTGCCATAATATTAGAAAAGCTTTTAAAATTATACCAAAAAGATTTATTTCCCAGTTATTACCTCATCATTTTTATTGTTATATTTCCTTTCTGTTGCAGTAGCATAGTCAAGTTTTTATAATCCAAGATGTATGCTATTTTATTCACGTTTTAAAGGGCAGAAAGATCATAGATACCAATGTTGTAATTTTCACATGGACTATTTTATCTTATATGTTTCTTGAAATCTAAAATCATAAGTAGTTCTATTACTTGTTGAAAGCTATGAGATATAGTACAGCTGTTAAATCTATAACATTGCCTTTGCTGGTTTACTCAGTGGGTGGAGCGTTGACCTGCAGACTGAAGGGTCCCGGGTTCGATTCCAGTCAAGGGCACATGCCCAAAGTATTTTTCTTAGTATTAATCCTTTATTGAAAACATCAGGACTTGGTTCTGCCCTTAGAAAACATACTAGTATACCTTTCCTTTGGGCTCGATCCCCAATAGGGGCGTGCAGGAGGCAGCCGATCAATGATTCTCTCTTATCATTGATGTTTGTCTGTCTCTCTCCTTCTCCCTTCCTCTCTGAAGTTAATAAAAAATGCATATATATTGAAAATCTATAACATTATGCTGTTTTTTACATTTCTCTATAAAAGTGGGTTTTCACATCATGGGATAGACATGTGACCAAAAAAAATTTAGCATTAAAACAAATATATGGGTATCAAATGTAATTTTCTAGTTGATTTAAGTTTTGAGTGTGTTCCCTGAAAGGAAAATTGCCTCATTTCACTAACAAAATTCCCAAACCTTGAAATTTCACATTTTTAAAGGAAATATAATCATTTAGCAAAAATAATAGGAAAACTTCAAGAGCTTTTAGAAGAATTAATAGTGAGAAACTAACATAAAAGAATATAAGTAATAATTGAAAAATAAAATGTAATTGAAAAATAAAGTAATTGAAAAATAAATAATAATAATAGTAAGTGAGAGACTTGAAGTTTAGCATAAATATGCTCCAACTCCCCTATATTTTCTGTGGCTTCCAAATGCTGCTCTGTTAGAGGCCTCTCTTCCTGATATGTTCATTTAGCATCCTAGCGGGAATGATTCTATGACTATATCTGTTACACTGACATACAAGTTATATGTTAGTAGTGTGAAAATATTTCTATTTCTAATTGGTTTTATTTTCTTATCAAAAATTAAATTCTAACCATGTTTTAGAATCTTAAAATTGCAACTCCTTTTCTAAAAGTAGTTGAAAATGTGCAAAGATGAATTTTATACAGATAAAAGAAATAATTTACATAAATTATACTACATCAGCCAGTCATTTCTTATATTTCCTTTTGTTTGGATGTTTTGCTTCAAATTCAGTCATTTTTCAACTGACTTTCTTGTAAATTTCTTGAATAGTAATAGGAAATAATCATACCTTTATTCCCTCTAGTTCTCTAGCCTTATTTTGATTCATCATAAAACCAAAAGGATAAAAATAATTTCTCTCTTAATTTAGTTGTTTATTTTTTAGTTCAACCTGAAGGTTTTTCATTCTTCTTAAATGTATTTATCTAAAGTAATAGGACTTGAATTTCTGGCTAAGAGACAGTGGAGATTGAAATGGACACAAGCATTCTCCTAGTGTATTTTTTTTGTAGTACTGAACTTTTTCATTAACATTCAAACAGATGAGAAACAGCATATGCCTTTACTTATTGAAGAGCTATGGGTTATTATATTGTTGACATAAGACACCCTGGGGAGCTTAGGGACTTTCTCTTATTGAACATATTTATATTTATACTGTCAGAGATTCTGATATTGCTTTGAATTTCCAAAGTCAGATATAATCAGAATATGGATTAATCTTCTAGTTTTTCTTTATGTTTTTATAATAATTAATTGGTATGCACCTACCATTAATTAAATTATTTTCAGGATTTTACAAAATGCTTGTGCTTTTTTAGAACAAAGTTTATATCAGAGCATAGTATGCAGAAATTGTATTCAAACATCAAAAGGTATAAATTAATTAGAAAAGTCCATCATATTTGGTAGATCAAATTAAATTTGAGAAGGAGAGGGAACAAGCTAGCTAGTTAGGGAATGAAGGCTAGTTCTTAAGGGATTCGAGTAAGGGAAAGGAACCAGGAATGTAATGTAAGGAAAAGCAGGCAGCATTAGACCATTATCTGTATATTTCACACATGTAGGTGTCATTTCAGTCTGGTAATGTCACATGAAGCACATTCCCTCTGAGGGAAAGAAGTCAGTATCTAATGCTGTGAAGGCAAAAAAAAAAAAGTCATAGAGTCCAGGAAGTCATTGCTGCTTTTAATTGATATTCACGTCATTTTTAAAATGCTTTGTTAATACACAAGACTATGAAGGCTATTCACATATTAATCTTTACCAAACACCAGGCCTTTTGTTAGGTTGTACAATGTACCATCACTATTCAAGAAATGTTTTTTTATTGTGGTTCTCTAAATGTATAAAACTGTTAAAATAATAATAAATTTAACATTAAAATGGGGAAGTTAAATTATATCTTGTGAAATCTTAGCTAAAAATTTTTATTGAAAATTTTATTCTAAAACATAATTTCAGTTTTTTACTTGCTTAATATTTTTATATCAGATTTGAGAAGCCTCACATTCTTTTGGTTTTTGTCTGTTGTTTTTGTTTTTAGCAGATGGCCCATACCTTCAAATATTAGAGCAACCTAAACAGGTAAGAAGATTAAAGGAGTGGGAACTTTCTCTTTAATGTTAGATCCATAAGTCTAATATTAATATCTCAAGCACCAAAAAATAGTAACTGAATTTTGTGAAGGAAGTAGCTGATCTAGAAGATCAACAACTTGCCAAATTATGTAACAACTTCATTCGTCCATTTTACATTTCTCTTAGTCATTCTGCAGACCATCTTGAGCCTCAATACATAGTTCTGTAAAACTTCAGTTAATTATAGATGCTTGGTATCTTGCTATCTCCACCAACTTTGCTTACCAGCCACTCCTAGGAAAGATAGGCTCTCTCCATTCATACAGAAATAATACATGCATGCAGCTCACATACATGGAATTACATCCATCAGTCGTGTCCATCGCATGCAGTACTTCTTAGCCTTCCTCCTACCACTAGTAGCTCCAGCCTTTTCTGCTCTGTATTTAGAACATGAACCCTAAGATATTAAAACCACCAGTGGGAGATAAATAGTATTAGAATGGACAGTTGAGTTCTCTTCCTTCTGGTGTTAACTTTAGACTCAGCCTCTTTGGAGTCAAGAGAAGGAGCATTTTATTTTCTCGGGTTCTTCCTCTTTCCACTGGATTCTGTAGGGGATCTCTGGGAATAGAAGCGGCCTCCTCACTCTGCTTCAAACCTGTCGATAATAGTTATTGGAAATTGGGTGGAACCGGTGCTATGAAAGAGGAAGAAAGAGATCCTTTAATATCTGCCTGTAGATTTTAGTTATTAGGAGGTAGAAGTGATGGTATAGTCCTCTACAGATTGAGGATAGTCAGTAAATCTCTGAATGGATGTGCTTACCAAACTTGTGTGAGACAGTGGGTTTGTATATCTGCTGTTCTGCACTTATATTACCCAATACTTTTCCTAAATGTTTTTAGTAGCTCAGGTGAGTGAGTGTAGCACTTTCACTTTGTGTAACATTTAACAAATGCTAACTAGGTCGAGAACTTAGTGCATTTATTGTGGCTACTATAATTGTGGCGTTATATATGTATTTGGATTTTGGTCAACATTTAAAGGGCATAAATATCTTAACTATCACCAATAGACTATTGTTATAAGGCTGAACTTAGATAAAAGTTTTTGATATGGGGACTGGAATGCCACATGAGATTTTGGGGCATTGCTCTAGTAGCTTATAGGTGACACAACCGGACTCCACAGTCTGCCAACATTACTTTACTTATGTCCAATTCCATAGTGGTGACTTCTCACAGCAGGTCACCAATTCCCTCAAAGACCCTCCTAGGGGAACTTTATCCCTAAAATTTTGTGCAGGGGTCTGGCCTCCTGAAAAATTTTCTAATTGGAAGATCTGGGTAATTTGTGACAATGAGAAATCAACTAAAAATTATTTTGTCTGCATACCAAGGCATGTTTTCAAATATCCGTTTTCATAAGCGTAGCACCACAATGAGAATTTTAAATGCATTTCTTATTAAGGCTCTAACAGTTATAAGGAAAAATTGGCATTTATAGTTTACCTTAAGGAAATTATGTATTTCCAAAATTCAAAACATAATTCACTATCTGTGGAGATGTAAAAGCTCATCTGAGTAAAACAATGTGTTTATTTACCAAACTGATGTTATTTTGATGTCTGACTCCAGTGAAAGTAAGAAAGTTGTATTCAAGTCAGACTTTCTGACTGGGTAGACGTAGGTTTGCCTTTGAGGTTGATGACTCATTTTAAGCAAATGGAGATACTGAGATGAATGGCTGTGGATTCGCAAACTTTTAATCTCAGAAACATAGAATCAGAAATGCATCTAGACTATGCATTGAAGACACCCTATCTCCCTTTAAAAAAAGTAAGAAATTTCTACCCTCAGGTTAAAATTCCTTTAGAACTTTAGATACTCTTATGCAACCATGAGAAATATCTATTTTTTAACTTAAGCAAGCTATTAAGACACGTTTCTTTACTCATATTCTATTTAATACCACTCCCAATAAAACATAAAAGTACACATGCTATATTTTCCCAACTGTCCTAAAGGAATTTGTGATTCAAGATAATGAATTGCTTTATTGCTTTAAAAAAAATAAAAGTTAGAAAAATGTTCTTTTTTCCTTTGAGGTCTTTTTGCCACAATTCTCCCCAGTTCTGACAGAGATGAGTCACAGCATAGACTACTAATCTTTAAAATATCCAGTTCTGTTGCATATTACTCATGGGTAATTATCTAATACTCTTTAAAAACTGAAGTTGTATTTAGATTGCGTAGCAGTCAAGTGAATTTCTGCCTTTATTCTGGAGGCTAACTATTGCACATGCTGATGCTTTTTCATGTTAGAAAGCCCATTTAATTATTAAAAATAAGCAACAGCTTTTGTCTACAAAAGGTATAGGGCTGAATTTGTATTTTTTAGCTTTAATTTTTTGAGAGGCAAATAGAAGAATTGCCCCTAAATGACTGACCTCCCCTCAAAAGTCTTCTCTCGTATTTAGGTCCCACTTTGACGAGTTGATCACACCTCCAGACCTGTTACTTGAGAAGCTTTCCTTCGCTAGAGAACTTACTTCAGGCCCTATTTATCCCCTGAAACATGCCTTAATGCTGATCCTCTTTGCAAGTCAGGAAGATCTCAGAGAGTATAGGGACAGAGGGTTCCAGATGCCAGAGATTTAAATTCATTCGGGACCTCTGGACCACTCAGAGACTGTTTCCCAGGACCCTGCACAGGAAATAATGAAATGTAGTGCAGTCTAAGGAGGGTGAAAATTTTACATTGATTGATGAGCTCAAAGCTGTTAAAACCTTTGTGTTTGCCCAGCCAGTGTGGCTCAGTGGTCAGCCGATGAACCAGATGAGCGTCAGCCAATGAACCAGAAGGTCATGGTTGGATTCCCAATTGGGGCACATGCCTGGGTTGTGGGCTCAATCCCCAGCGGGGGACCCTAATGAGGCAGCCGATCAACGATTCTCTCTCATCATTGATGTTTCTATCTCTCCCTTCCTCTCTGAAATCAATAAAAATATATTTAAAAACATCAGAGTTGCTATGACTGCAGGGTGGAAGCCCCACCAGGGAGCAGTGGGTGTGCGGAGCTCCTCATGGCCTAGTGATCTAGCACTGTTTAGATGAAGTCAGTTCCACAATAAAAATAAATGACCGGTGAGGTTGTTACTTAAAGTATATTAACAAACTCTTTTCACCAAAGGATGAATTTGAAAAATGAAAAACTATCCAGTTAGTGACAGTATAATTATAACAACTATTGCTACCACAAATTGGGTTACATCCTTATAAAGTTGCATCTTTCAGGAAATACATTGAAAGTTCCCTTAATATTAAGATTATGATAGCCATTCTCATAATTGCCCTTGTTTTTTTCTTTGTATACAAATTATAGTTGTTAGTTTTGTAAATCATAAAATGTTAGATCTGGGATAGACCTTAAAGGTAGTCTAGTCTAATCTCATTTGTATAGATTATAAACATACAGGACTTAAGGTTTTTCAGCCCACGGTAGTCCATATAGTGAAGACTTTAGCTAACTCTACATTGATCTACAACAGTTTTCAAATTCTTTAGCTAATAATATTTAAAGGGACTGGTTTTGGACTCATTCAGGTCAGTTCATAGAAAGAATTTGAGCTTGATAATATTAATAATCATAAAATAAAAAAACTAATCTTCGAATTATTGAGAGAAACTGGCCAAATGTGGTGTCAAGCATAGTATGTGTCTACAACACTGACATGCTATATTTAACAAGGCATTTCTGTATTCCCTGCTGAACCAACTGTAACCAGAGTAGATAAAGGAATTCCTTTAAGTGAGAGTCAAAGAAGCGTAACTTGGAGTGCAATATGGCCAAGTTCAGAGCTTGGCGGCAGCAATTTGAGATGAAGAAGCTCTGGTTCAAACAAGCTGTAGCACGTCCAGTCTAACTCTTCAGCAGCTCACTCCCCACCTGTGCATAGCAGGAGAGTTTCTACGGGGTTAGGGACCTCACTTTTAAGCCACCAGTACACAAATACCAATTAACCTCAATGTTCATAGTAAGATTATGGGAAAAGTGGTTTTCATTTACATAATCCTCTTTCACACATTTCTTGTTTTTTCTCTCGCATCTAATACACAAAAGAATTAAAAATTTGTATATAATTTTGTCCTAGTACTTTTTAATAAGTATTTCTCAAGCGTGTTGGCTCTATGCTCACCTTTGCAGAGAGGATTTCGTTTCCGTTATGTCTGTGAAGGCCCGTCCCATGGCGGACTCCCTGGTGCATCTAGTGAAAAGAACAAGAAGTCCTACCCTCAGGTCAAAGTAAGTTCATGATGACTTCCTATGTGGATTTTGGAAGATTTGATTTCCTAGCAGTGCAAGTGATGAACTGCTTTACATGAATATAATTTGCTTTTACCCCTAAGCTGAAATATTCACATGATTATTATAATTTTCTAATAGAAATGTGTCTCTTAGCAATAGAAGTGACAGATTTTGAAACCTCATTATTATTTCCATTCAGTAGAAATTATTTCAAACTTAGCTAACCAACTTTTACTATTTCTTCCTCACTTTAAAGAGTTTTTTAATTGTATACCTCTTGATACCTTAAGAAATCTTTAAAACAAGTGCTTGATTTCAGCTTTTTAGAGATTTAGTGAAAACTGAAACAGATGACTGAGTGTATGATTGTATAACATAGTATTTAAGATCATGAATTCAGGTCCAGACTGTTACTATCTGCATGGCTTTGACTAGGTTATCCATTTCTAAACTTCAGTACCCTAATATGTAAAATGCAGAAATATTGATGGTATATACTTCATAGAGTCTCTTAGAGATTAAACAAGAGCCCGGAAGTACCACAGGGTCTCTGCTTGAGCAAATGTACATCACACGTGGAGGTCCCTGGAATGTTCCGCTTGATGATGTGCCTGTGGTGTGCTTGGTCGAGCCCTTTACACACCTTCAGGTTCTTTTTCTATTTGTTAATTTAAGAAGAATATCTTTGTTTAAGTTAATTTGAGATTTTTTATTTTCATAAATGGTGCCATATTTCATTGACTGATTGATAATAGTTTTGCAGATAAGCCCGCCAACAATTGCAATTTCCCTGTTTATAAAAGTTTGTATTGTTCAATACTTCAAGGCTTCAGCAAAAGGTTACCAACTTAGTTCTCACTAATGTATGTGCGCCCCTTCGGATATGACTTACTTTTGGCCTCAGTTTTTGTGTTTGTTTGTTCTTGTGAATAAGTGAAGGACAACAGGACAGGCCCTCAGGAAAATCAAGATGTCAAGGAAATTTGTCTTTGGTTGCTAGGCTTGCATCTTGTTTCCTCCTTTTCCTCTTCCCCACTTTTAGCCCAGATCTTTCTAATTTCTTACCCCTGTTCTGAAACAAAATACAGAATACTGTGATGTCATTCTTTACCTTTTGAATAAAACCCACCCATATTATCGAGTGTGGATTCTACCAATCACATTTGCATTTTAAGTCTCCTAGCTCTCCTGTGGAATGAAAGATGGTTTTCTTTTTCAGGGTCATTGAGCAGGGTAAATATGATGTGTTTAGCTCTCAGGAGATGACAGTCTTATGGTCACAGTCCTTGGGAATCTAGACGAGGAAAGAGGAGCAGCAGTTAAACAAGAGAATTAGCATTTATTAAGCACCAAAGATTTGCCAAGTGCTTTGCATATATTACCTCTTCTAATCCTCATAACAACCCTGGTAAGTTAAAAGTGTAATGCTTATGAGGAAGTTAAGGCTCCGAGAGAAGAATTAACTTGCCTTTCTCACAAGACTGTGGCTCTTTATCCAACAGCTGACTATTGCTCATTGAACTTGCACATGGGATGTGTGCATTTGGGTTGCTGGGGGCAGGGACCGAGGGGGCAGGACATGGGAGGACAATGGTGAAACAGGGGCAGAGAATTATAACTTTGGAAAAAAGGGAAAGAGAGGTTCAGGGGGCCTCAGATATTAGGGAATCAGATCCAGCACTTTTGTCAACATATGTATCTGTGTGCCATATATATATATATATATATATACACATAGTGTTCATGTGTGTACTTGTGATAGAATAATTGAAAGATACATGTTATCAGCATTGACGATGATTATAATTACTGAAGAATTAACATTAAGAAAAAAACTGGGAGTTTTTTCTGGCCTGGCTCTGTACAAAATGTAAATTGTGGTATTTTCATGACTGATTTACTTCTATTGCTCTGGTCTTTTGTGGCTGAGTAGCCATTCTTGATACTAATAAGTACATGGCATTCATTAACTTTGCTGTAAATGTGTTATCTAATTAAAAACTTTATGCATTCATTTATGCTCAGTCTTCATACAGCCTTCTCACGTAGTGATTGCTGCCTTACATTTACAAAATAATTAGAAATGAAACAACCCAATGGTCCTTAGAGGTTCTTGTCAAATTATAGTTTTCTATATCAACGAGTTTAATATTTAGTGGGAGATACAGATATATAAACAACTGATACTAAAGGAAGTCAAACTACACATGTGTAAATTGGTCATTATTAAACTTCAGCTATGGCTTTATTATTCCAGCTACCCATTTATTTATTATTCACTAATTCCACATATACGTATTAAGCATTAAGCATTTAATCCAATTGTAAGAAAAGGAAGAACAGTGTAGAGATCTGTTACAAGCTGGCATTGTTCTTCTAGCCTATTCTTGTCCACTGAGAGTTTAAATGACTCTGTTGTTTGTAACAGTTAAAGGAAGTAATTTTATTTATCTTAGAAGCTCTTGAGCAGAAGGATGGGGAGGAGGAAGAGAAAGCGACAACCATGAGATATTTTTCCCAGAGCTCTTCTCCCAATATCACTTTCAGTAGTCTTTTCATAATGAATAGATGAGGGTGGCCTTTCAGTTTACAGGGGGATTTTAAATGCCTTTAAAAATTTGGCAGAGGAAAGACTCGCTGTCATTGTATGTCTCCTGTCAGGAGGACCTTTACAACTGTACCTGTGTTCTGCAGTAGGTAACCAGGCACCCACTCTATGTGAGGCTGTGAGGGAAGCCGTGGACAGACCCAGCTAGATCAGGGGTTCTCAGACTCAGCTCTGTTGACATTTTGAGCCAGAAAACTCTGTTGTAACGGGATTGCCAGTGCCTTATAGGATATTCAGCAGCATCCCTGGCTTCTACCTACTAGATGTCAATAACATCCCTACCGCTGTGACAACCAAAAGTGTCTCCAGACATTGCCAGATGTCCCCTGGGAGGCAAAATCACCCTGCTTACAAACCACCCATCCAGGTGCAGTGTCCAGTCAGCCTTAACCTTGTCCTCTTCATGCCTTTCTACTCGAAAGCTGTTGTCATAGGTTACAGGGGATTGCCTACATATATTATTTTGCATATGTACTTTTCCTGGTTATTGGTAGACACTTATTTTCAAGCTGATGATCATGATGACTATAATTTCTTCTAGAACCTCGGAACTAGTTGGATATTAAGAAGAACAATAGAAATGAGAAGAAGACATACCTTAAATATTCCATATCCTATGATAACTGCATATCTAAAAGTTAGCATAGGAGTTGTGTTGGCTCTCGGCATAAACTGTTACAGAAGAGAAAGTGAAAGTGGAGAGGGGTTCAGTCAAGGCTGTGACCCGGCAGAGCCCTGTGTGCGCAGTGGGAGCATCTATGGACTGGTCCTCATCCAGCCTCCGTGGAGGGAGGTGTAAGGGCAAGTGCCCCACTTACACCCCAGAATCCATTGCACAGGGGCTTCAAAGGGAGGGCATTTACATTTACTGGGGGAAAATATTTCTGAGATTTACATACACTACTTATTTAATAAAGTATGTTTGTCAGACTTAACTGTAAAATGTTATGGGCTCTACCTTTTCCTCACCTACATACTAGTACAGCCTCTTCCTCTTCTCTCCACTCCAGCCTCCCTCCCTCTTCCCATCATGCCTCTGTGAGATCACACCACTCCCTTGAGAGGCCTTGAGAGGCAGGTGGCTCCGCGTGTGCTCAGTCACATGCAGGCAGCAGCAAAGGGTCGGGGCCACCTGAAAGCTGTTGGAGCTGCCTGAGGTCTGGGGGTGCAGACCCGTAACTCTGCTTTACGGACCATGTACATATATAACCTGCTTGGCTTAGCCTCTTGCTGATTGTCCAAATATACCTCAGGTTAAGTCATTTTAAAACGAACTCTAGGAGGCTGCACCGACCCTCCTTTTTCTACTGAATTTTGTCCCAGGTTTGAAACCCTGTTTCAGAAAAACTCGGTGTAGGCTAGGCTTAGGCACTCTCTTACTATGTCAAGATTATTTCTAGAGCTCAGGCTACCGCACCACCTGGTGCTCTGCATGTTTATTTCATGTCACAGAACCCCACTTAGCTTTCTAGAGTTTTGCTGTGTAAGTTGTCACATTCTCTTTTAACAACTGTTTTAATTATAAAGGATTTCAAGCATATAGATCACTTAAAAACTGTTCATTTAATAACAGGTACCAGGTATCACCATCTCAGTTTAATACATATTAACATTTTAACTGTATTTGCTTCTGAGCTCTCTCCCTCTTTCTAAAATAAAACATAGTTACAGCTAATGCCCCACCCATTCATCACTTTTTCCTTCTTCAGACATAGACTTCTATTCTGAGTTTTCATTCTCTGAAATGTTTTTGCTGGCTTCGCCCTTTTCCAGGGCAAATAAGAATTAAAACTGGGCTTCATTGAAGATTAGTGTTCACTTTGATCCTATTGATTCCTCTTTATCATCTAGATAAACCTTTTTCATTCACAATGGTGCAGTGTATTCTGACTTTTACAGCAAAGAATAATAATAATAATAATAAATAATAGCGAAAAAAATCTAAAGTAAATATGCAGTCTAACTCTTATGTCTTGCTTTTCTTTTTTTAAAAAAATAAAACATTCTTGTTGTTAAACATTTAATAATCTATTATGCTGTCCTATAAAGCTTCCCTTTAAAGTTTCCTCAGTTCTAATTTCATCGGGAGCTCCTAATGGCAGAGGCTGGCAGAAAAGCACAGGCACCTTCCTTGAGGCCGAGCTTGTCCCTACCTGTCTTTGACTCAACAAGGAGTGCCAGGGAAGGCTCGTTTCCCTCTTTTTCCCGAAAGTTATGCATGAGATTTTTATTAATCAAACAAACTGCCTTCCCCTTCACAGAGGTGGACAGGTGCCAACAGGAGCAGCCCCACAGGGCTTCAGAAAGCCTCCCTGCTTCTCTTCCAGAAAGCACCCATTCGCAGCTGGGGTGGCATCCTCTAGTGGGCTCACCCCGTGCCAAGCAGAAA